CAAAAAGTATATAATAGCTTAATTAAATAAGGAATTTTTTGAAAATGCTTTTAGTTTTCATGGAATTCTTACCGTTAAAAAATTTTTTAAACCTTTTTATATAAATTACTTAGATTAATAATTTTATTTTAATTAAGCTGTTATATACTTTTTGCAAAAACTAAAAGCATTTACAAAAAAATTACTTTTTAAAGGTAAGTTTAGAGAATTATTTTAAAAAGGCTTAAACACTGCAGAAAGCAAAGGGCATTTTGTATAAACTTATTACGGTTTTTATACCTTGTGGTATTATATCATTTGCTGTTTTGGAGCGCGTTTTGGTTTCGAATGGTTCGTACATGTTATGTCGCTTGCGTTGTCTTTTGCCTCTCTCCGTGACCAGTCCTTTGGTGTGCATCCCTCCTTCAACTTTGCAACCCTGAGTAGGAATTTGCTGGGTGATTTTAATGAACGAGAAAGCAGTATCCTGCAGAAGGATGAACAAATGCCAGTGTATTTGCGTATTCGACCACTGAATCCTGGCGAGCCATCGAATAAAGTGTTGTTTGCATGCGGCGCTACCAAGGTGGTGCTTAAACCGTCGGTGGAAGATAAAGGTCTGCGTGCGGGTATGTTCGCGTTTGGCCAGTCTTCGCATGAGTTCACTTTCTCTCGGGTGTTCGGTGAGGTCACAACGCAGGCTGAGATTTTCAAGGCTGTCGCGGCGGAGCGGGTGAGCGAGTTCCTCGAGGGTGTAAATGGTTTGGTCTTCGCCTATGGCACCACTAGCTCGGGCAAGACCTACTCCTTGCAAGGTAGGTGCACGGCTTTCCATCCGTCCTTCTTCCCTTTAACCTCATCGCATATATGGTCTGTTCGAACAGGCACCGCAGGAAATGGGGGCGTCATTCCACGTGCATTGGAGTGCATCTTCAGGAGCGCGGCACTGAACCCAACGGAGCGATTGGTGCCACGCGGTTTCGATGAGGTGCAAGAGGTGACAGAGGCGGAGGCGGAGAAGCGAAGACGCGAGAAAGCCCTTCTCCTGCATCTCGCACGTACAGCTGAAAGCGTAAGATGGGCGCCACTGCTCGTAGATTCTGCCCCCACTTTCTGCCTCACAGCTTTTAACCCGTTCTCCTTACCCATGGTAGTCGTCGCGGTCGTGCGCAGTCAGTTGGGAGTCGGTGCGGCCCCCATCGGAGGTGAAGTCGTCGGCTAGTACGGGAGGCGAAGCAGTAGCAAGAGTGGAGGAGGAGTGTTTGGAGGTGTCGTTTGCCTACAAGGACTCAGCGGCCTTCTGCTTTTGGATCAGCTTCGTGGAAATCTATAACGAGGTGGTCTATGACCTTCTCGACCCCAATTTTGTCTCTACCGTCGAAAAGTGGAGTGGAGCATCATCTTCTGGCTTAGTTGGCGGTGGAGGTGTGGCAGTCGGGGGTGGCGGTTCCTTTGGGGTGCGCCGAAGCCCACTAGATTTACGCACCGATAAGAGGGGCAACGTGTTTGTCAAGGGTTCGTTCCCTTTTTTTGTTCTATTCTCGTTAACATTCATATTTACTGCCGACTTGAATTGGGGCTGCTTCTATCATGACGAGGTGGCTATGATTTCGGTGCAACCTGTTTTTTCGAGCTGGTGTTTCAGTTTGGGGACTGTGATTCAGACGGAGGAATGGCCTTTTTCCGGATGGTTTTTGGAAGGCTGATGTTGTCAGCGAACATGCCTCTGGTATTTGTCGAGTCCTCCTGCGTCAAGATGACTTGAGATTCTCTATTGCTTACTGTCAGAGTGTTGCTAGGAGTGGAATGGAGAATCAACTGTGGCGTCAGCAGCAGTCGCGTTTGGATGGGTGAGCGAGTGAGGAAGTGTCAGTTCTTTCAGAAGACGCCTTTACTGCTTGGATGCTCCTTTATGTTTGCTAGGTAACCTTGAGGTGGTTGAGAAGTTGATCGTAATTGGTGTTACCGCTTGGAGGCTCCTTTGGCATGGGTTGTGTGACTTAAGGAGTAGAAGGGGCAGAGGCGGCGAGCTCATTTAAGGTGAGTTGACCTAAGTGATGCCCACGTAAGTGTGTGCTCGTTGCAGGTGTGCGGTGGTACACGGTGACTTCAGCCGAGGAGGCCTACTCGCTGATCTCGGTGGGTCGGCGCTGCCAGCGCGTGGGTGCCACGCGGCTCAACGAGTCGAGTTCGCGATCGCACACTATCCTCACCCTTCGTGCCCTTCGCTCTCGTCGGGGTGCCCCCATCGGCGTTGGCGCCGGCGCTGTTGGAAGCAGTAGTTTGTTGAGTTTCTGTGACCTCGCGGGTAGTGAGCGATGCGCAAAGGCGGCGACACTGGCGCAGGTGCAGCGATTGCGTGAGGCTAACAGCATCAACACGAGTCTCCTGACTTTGGGCAAGTGTATTGAGGCACTGCGTCACAACCAGCGACGTGGTGGCGGTGGCGGCAACCCGCGAATCGTGCCGTACCGTGAGTCTCGCCTCACGCGTCTCTTCCAAAACTTCTTTGTGGCTGCAGGAACGGGGGTGGGTGGTCGCGGACGGAGCCGCGCATGCCTGTTAGTAAATGCGGCACCGTGCGCTCCGTTGGCGGAAGAGACGCTGCATTCGCTGCGCTTTTCGGCCCTCGCTGGTCAAGTTCTCATGTCTACGGCAGCGCCACCACCGTTACCGCCACCGAAAGCCGCGCCTTCGGAGTCCGCTGCGGCCGCGGCCGCTTCTGCTGCTATCCAGGATCAGTTGCGTGCTCAACTGCTCCGACAGGGTTTCCGTCTGCGGTGGGTCTGTCTCTCACCATTAATTGCTTTTATGATTGCGTTGCGAGTTCTCTCTCCTTTTCTTCTCGTTTTTGTCGTGTACGAACAGGAAATAGTCGTGTTTGCGTTTGTGTGAGGAGACAGTTACCTTGAAGTGATGTCTAATGTGGTTCATAAATCATGGTAGAACGGTGTACACTTGTTGCTAGCGTTAGATGGATGTGTCGGGAAGTGTGTGGGACGCTTCTCTTCGTTTGTTCAGTGTGATTTTCCACAGGAGTGTTTACGATCGGAGAGGTCTTGATTTCCCTCATGTGGTTTTCTTGTGCGGAACTAGAGACGGGCCTTGGATGATGTGTCACTGTGGATTGTTGGTTTGGAGATGTTTTTCCATGCGCCTTGCAGTTGTTCTGGCAGCCTGCTTGGTCGACGCGTGAACAGCAGCGTTGGTAGTGTGGCGACTTTGGCAGCGGCGGCATCGGGGGAGACGACGATGATGAGAGTGGAGGAGGTGGAGGAGACGGCGACGGTGGTGCGACACGGTGTCAGTAGCGGTGGTGATGGTGATAACGGAGACGGAGGCATTCGGCGACCGCTGGCGGAGTGGGTGGAGAAGGAGGCAGTGGAGGCGGAGTTGGAGCGATTGCCACGAGAGGCGCTGGTGGAGATGGTGCATGAGCTGCTGGCAGCCGTGGCAGAGGCGCTGCCTGCCGAGGTGGAGGCGGCACGTAGCGAGACTCGTGCTGACGTTACCGCGACGATGGGCGAGGAGTTGTTGCGAATGGAGGAGCAGTACGAGTGAGTGTGGTCATGTCTTCCTACTTTTCCCCTTCTCATCGATTTATTATGGTAGCACTATACGTCGTGGGGCTCTTTGGGGCGAGCGAGGTGACTGGGTGGCAGGCTGAGCATGTCGTCGTCTGGTCAGTCTGTGGGAGTGCAAGTAGCTGTGTGTGTGGGAGTGTGCGTGCGCTCTGTCGTGTGCGGATTGATCAGGGAAGGTGTGCGCGAGGTTGTGTGTGTATGTGTGTGTGTGTGTTTGTGGGGGTGCGTGTGCTGTCGTGCATCCTTCCACCTAACCCTAATCGTGTGAGGGAGTGCCATCTCCCTTCTCCTCCTGCCTGAGCGGTTTCAGGTGGCTTTCCGCTTCCAAATCCACCGACATCAGTCCGCACTCGTCTGTGTGTATGTGTGCTCTGCACTAGCAGCCTGTGTGTCAGTTCCCCTACTCGTTCGCCCCCAGATGGATTTGTGTTGGTGGTGGCAATGATGGTGTGCACTGTGCTGCATGCTCCCTGCACCACCGACATACACGAACTGTCATGTCACTCCTTCCTTCTGTTTGTTAGTGTCGGAGTCACGAGTAGGTTGTTCGCTTTGCTGACTAAAGGGCCGTGATCGGGTTAGCTGAATTCAGGTCATGCATTTTTAAAGTAAGGTGTATGCGTCGCCGCTGTCGTGTGTGTGTTTAGTGTCCAGGTGTTGAAGTGGTAAGTTGGTGCATTGGAGGTGGTGTGGCATATTGACGAGTTGTAGAGAGGGTTGTGTAGGCGTTCCGATTTTTGTTTTTGCGTGTGTTTGTGCTGACGGAAGTAGGCGTCGATGTTCTTGATTGTGATGACTGGGTGTGTTGACAGATTACTGTTGCAGAATCAGGAGCGGGAGTTTGAGGCGCGACTGGTGGAGGAGCATCGAAAGCAGAAACAGAAACAACAACGAGGGCGACAACGGAAGGGATCGGAGACACTGGGACCGCATCGACAACGTGGTTCTTGCACCAGTGGTGCAGATTGCACGTGGGCATCATTGACCTGTGTGGTGGGAGGAGAAGGAGAAGGAGAGGTGGAGGTAGGGGGGAGCGAAGTTGGTGGCTCGGAGACTGTGGAAAGCAGTGGGCCATGGACGCGGGAGCCATCGGCGAAGACTCGTCGGATGGAGGAAATGGGTGATGAGCTGGCGGAGGAGGTGGAAGCGGAAGCGGAGGCAGATGAGGAGACGGAGAAGGAGGAGGAGGAGGAGGAGTGTCCTTCTTGTGCTCGTGCGTAGTCCTTGCTTCTTGCCTTATTTTTCGAGGTGCCAGTGGGAACGCTGGTGCTGCTTTTGTTGGTAATTTGTCTGAGTGTTGGCGTGTTGGTTTATGCTGACGTAGACTACGTGAAGGAGGTGGCGCGTCTGCGTGAGGAGTTGGAGGAGGCGCGTGGCGACTTGGCGGATCAGCAGGACGCGATTGGGGTCGTGATGGCGCAACGCGACGCCTTTGAGGTGGAAGTGCGGCGTCTGGAGTTTCTGGTGCAACTGGCAGTGAGTTGTCATCCTTTCACTCTCATCTGTGTGCTACATGTGTTTGTCTATCTACTGGTTGGTTTGTTTCTGTCGTGTAGAAGCAGCCACTGGAGGTGAATCCTGCAAAGCCTGCGTCGACTGCACCTACGTCTGCGAAGGCGACTGTGACCACAAGTTCCACTGCTACGTCGATTTTCCCTCCGTTGTTGGGGGCGGAGGTGTGTCATCTTTTCTTTCGTATCTTTATTCACAACTCAGTCTCTCCTGCTTCCACTGGTCTTGTCCTCGCCGACGTTAGGGAGTGTCACTTTCCATGGCATTTGGGAGTGTATTGTGGTTTTTTTTTTTTGTTTTAGTCGGTGGTGGCACCTTCTTCGTTGTCTACCGAGGAGGTGACGATGTTTGGGAAGCAGCAGAAGCAGGAGAAGGAGCAGTCTTCCTGTGTAGCCAAGGCCACTCATTTCTTTCCGCCGTTGATGTGTTCACCCGATCGTGTTAGTTGATGGTGATGGATACGTCTAGAGTCCACTCTCGTGGTTGTTTGTTTTGTGTTTTGTGGCATGACGTGACGAGTAGTGCAGTGTTGGTACTATTGTAGGTGTGTGTGAATGGTGATGTTGATGCTGACGCGGACATAATTCCTCCAACACCGGACGCGGTGGTGGCGGCGACAGCGGTGGCATCAGTGGTGAAGCAGGTAGAAGCGGAAGGAGAAGGCGGGGGTGTGAAGGTGGAGGCTGGTGCCGGCAGTATTGCGCGCCTACGCGCGGAGAGTCGGGAGGTTCTGTCGCAGCTGGCGCATGTGCAACTGGATGCGGAGTGGAGTACGAGGACGAAGTGGGATGAGGAGGTGAAGGCGGAACCGGTGGAGAATGGGCGACCATCGAAGGCAAGTGGGGTGTGTGTGTGTGTGTGTGTGTGTGTATGGCAGGTTTGCTGTGTGGGTTGTTTTCTCTCCTGCTGTGTGTGTGTGGTTGTGGTAATGGTTGTAACTTCGTTTGACAGACGAGTGCGGCGCGAATGGCGTCATTTTTGGCTCACGAGGCGGAGGCTGAGGCTGCGGCGGCGGCGATTGCGAGAGAGTCGGCACTGCAGTCGCGGTGCGAGGCGCTGTTGCGCGAGCTGTCTGATGCGCGCTCTGCCCACGAGGAGGTGGTGGTGCAGTTGGCGGAGGTGCAACGGCGTCTGACTGAGTACGAGGCGAATCGGGAACTGGTGTGTCAGTACTGTGTAAGGCAATTGGATGGGCGTGTTTAGGTGGTGGTAGTGAGTGTGAGTGGATGAGATGTCATTTGGTGGTGTTTGTTTTCAGAAGCGAGAGACGTTGGATGCTGAAGTGCAGACGGAAGTGGTGAAGGTGGAGGTGGAGGTGGAGGAGGGGGACGTTGTGGTGAGTGGGAGACGTGGGACGCGAGGACGACGTCGACAAGGACAGCGAGGACGGAAGACGGTGGTAGCGACAAAGCGGGAGACGTCGGCGTTGGTGGTGCCGAGTTTTGAGGTGGCGGGGGTGGGGGAGTTGAATGACAGTGACGCGGAGAACGCGTTGTGTGCGCAGTTGGCGCGAGACCTCAGTCGGATCCAGGTTGATGTTGCTGCTTCTGCTGCTGCTGTTGGTGGTGGTAGTGGTGGTGGTGGTGATGGTGATGGTGTATCTACTGGAGAGGAGGAGGAGGAGGACGGTGACGAGGAGGTGGTGGAGAGAGGCGAGGGGAAGCATGGAAGAAGGAAGCGTGGTGGTCAGCGTGGAGAAGTGAAGAATCGGTCAGTGGGAGGTGATGTGAGCACGCGTGTCACCCGATCCATGTGTGTGGAAGGTGGTGGAGGTGAATCGAGGGAGGAGCATCAGGAGGTGGCGAATGTGCGGAGACTGGCACCGTTGTTGGAGGCGCGGGAGTTTGTCAATTTGGAATCGGATAGAGTGGAAGAAGTGACGCCGCGACCCATTCGACGAAATCTGCGTTCTCGAAAGGCCGTCTAGCCATAAATGTCCACCTTCTTTTTAACCCTTTCTCTCATTCCTTTTTGTAAATGATTGGTGATTCTTGTGTACTTTGCCTAATCAGATTTTGCCTGTTTTAGTTTTTAGAAAGAAGATTTTTTGGTAGATGTCTTAATTTTTACGCCTTACAATTGCGAGACCGTTTTTTGGGTGACGATGTGTTACGGTTATTGCTTTTTTTGCTTTTATCTCCCTTGTTAGCCTTTTTTGTGTTCCTTTAGGTCGTTTTTTTTTACATTCCATTTTAATTTGCACTATTTCTCGTGCTTAGAAATATCAAAATCTGCATTTTTTTGCCTCTTTTATCGTAATAGTTTTGTGCGATTGTTTATATTCTACTGAAGGTTATTTAAGTAGCTTAATTTGCCTTTTCTACCCTTGGGCGTTACCTTTTCGATAGGATCGCATTCTTGCACTAGACATTGTCGGTTGAAATTGGTGGATGCGGTTTAGCTTTGTCTGTTTTGCAACCTGCGTTTAGCTGAATTGCAGTGGTGCTGGGTAGGCTTTACGCTAATTTTGTTGTGTAGCATTTGGCGTAGGTGTGGATTTCGGTGACCTATTAATTTGTTACCTATAATCATGCGGTAACTTATAACTCAAGACTCGGTTTTGCGTTGTTGCATAGAATGGAGAGTTATGTTTCATTCTTTAGCATGACATTGGCCAGTTCGAAATTAGTTTTTCGGTTGTAGCCTTCATTTATGCGTGGCATGGGTGTTGATGGAGCAATTCGTTGACGTATACATCAACTGGACTGAAGAAGGTCGGAAGACTTCTGCCTTGTTTTTTGTGTCTCCTGTTAAGTAGACGCCGCTTGTTTCGGATTGTTGATTAGTCAACCGGATTTTTTTTCCCCGACTTTTGTTTGTCCTTGGCTGTTTCACACCACACTACTATGACAGATACTTCTTTAACCTCTGAAGGCTTCACCGATTTTGAATGTGTCTCTTCGTTGA